GTCTGAAATTAACTTTCTACCCATTTATAACAATAAATTCGGCTTCTGCTGATATAAAAATTAAAAAAGGTTTTTTATTTTTTCAAAATAAAATAATATAAAAATCTCATAAGTTGAGATACGTATCCAAAGTAACATAAATATGTAAAAGTCTATTACAATTAAGTGTCGTATAGGGGTTTTATATAATGAAGCCACATTAGTTTTATGTCGTTCTACGAATGAATTGACGGCTCAAAACAATTTCAACACTTCTGTGTATATCCACATGCCATATCCACATTATAAAATTATATTGTATCAAGGCTACCATATTTATTTTTATTATTGATAGATACGTAATGATTTTTTTGCTATGTTACACAGTTTATAAAGACATATCCAATAGAACTTTCTTCAGCAACATGGATTCAACCTACTGGTAACGAAATTATACTTCCTTTGAATTTTAAATCTAAAAAACAAATTAAATCAGGTTTTCCTTGAGATTTAAAAAGTTTTGACTTAGCATATTTAAAAACATTTTCTTCATAATTTTTCAGAAACAATTTTATGTTTATCTATTCAAAATTCCCGGTCACTTCAAAACATGTTTCGAACTTTCTTCAACAAAATTTTTTAATATTTAGGGTATCAAGAAGTATATAAGGAAATAAAATATTTGGTAACGTGCCATTGACAAGGTGTACAAGAATATATAGAGTCCGAAGATAACATTCGGAATGCAACTATCACGTTTTCCTATATGTAATAAATCGTAATTCACGCTTAACAACAATTTCTCGTTGGGACATAAACTTCTAATTGGGATCCAAAGTAAGTTTATCGGTTGTTTTAAGACTCCATTAATCAATGTGCTAAATTCAAAGAACGAAAGTCGTAAAGTTCACTTTGAGATTTCATAACCTAAACGTTGACTCAAGCTCTTAGTGTATAAAAATTTATTATGCCTATATTATTCATACTAGGTTGTGAAAAAAGTATTCTGTAGACTACTACATATGTATGGTATATAAAATAACAATGATTGATTATTGTCACAGTAGTCTGTCTGCGCGATTGGAGCTGACCTTCGCGGTCACTGGCTTTGTTTTTTCTTTCTTTTCCTTTTTCCGCCGACAGGCTTTCATTTGAAAGCATATAGAGCACCAGGTTTAGGCGGCCTCAGCCAGTTTCGAGAGGTTGTTTCGACCTATGTGAAGAAAAAAATTCATCCGTAAAGAATTTAATTTTCCCTCTACCACCCATTTTTGAGAAACGTGCACGGATCCGCCATTTGGATACCCGCATTCTGGTGATTTTATATACACTTCAACGGAATTTATATAAAATATGCCTATTTCGAAATGTGGTTTTTATTCGCGCAGGAAGTTTTGTTGAGAGTAAGTTTTAATAATTTTTTATGACATCGTTCTTGTAGATCAGATATCAAACATGTAGTAAAACTGCATGACAGATACTGACAATTTTGCATAAATTACAAATGCTCAGTTAATGACTGTAAATGCTAATAAACTTATTTTAGAGAGTCTTGAGATAACGTCTTTCGAGAAAACGTTCAATAAACAAATAACATAATAATATGGAATATGTGAAATCAATGAAATAATTCTAAAAATTGAGTTTGTCTAGTAATATGCTAAAAATTTTTTTCTCCCTAATAAATTTTGCTTTAGAACACGAGTTTTGTAACAAGAATTGTTGGCCTGACGTATACTAGATATTTAATACATAATCATTTAATAAACAAGTGAAAATGAATAAAAGTTCGATATCTGGCAATGCCACTAAACCTGAAAGTATAACATTAAAATATAAAGGTGATGGAACGTCTGTGTCTCCTAAGGATAGAAAATATGGAGGAGATACAATATTTCAAAATAATGATTGCCCCTTAACAAGTGAACAATTCTTAAGAGCAAGACAGAAATTTGTTCTTCTTGAAAATGCAAATAGTACAAACGATAGGAATGCCTCAGCAGGAAAAGATGTTAATAAAAACAAAAACAGTTCCAAACCAGTTGAAGCAAATAGAAATCTTCCGAAGGAGTTTGCAGAGAAAAGTTACTCAACCATTAACACTGAACATGAAATCAACCCTCCATTTCAGCCTCTACTCTATGAGGGATCAGCCTCCACAGTCTCACCTGTAGAACTGAATCCAAATGAAAACCTTATCTATAAAACTGAAGCGCCAATGGTACTACCTAATGAAAAGCCATGCTTGAGTAAAGAATGTAGTGGTAAGTATTCTATTTAGGAACAAGAACGCATTTTTATACATATGTATTATGAAATCCATATTAAAATATGAATAATATGAATAATATTAAAAGTTTTGTTTGGAATAGGTACAACTGACCTTCAAAAAGAATTTGATTTTAAAACGATACGAAATAAATTTAAAAATTGGGCGGAGCCCAAAAACGATAACGTAAAGAGGTTAATAGCTAAACTCGAAAGAAAAACTAAGACTAGTGAACACGATGGAAGAGATCAAGTGAAAAAGAAGAAGGAATATGGCAAGATGATTTATGAGGAAAATAACACAAAAAATGATGAAGGCAATAACCATCGGACCAACCCGAAATAGTATCAAACTTGTGCCAAAAAACCAATGAAAAAAGTTGCTCAACTACTACTACTTAATTTTGGACTCACTTAACAAATCATATCTAAATAATGTCATCAACTAACATTAGGTTAAATTCTCATACCCGGATAATAATGACTAATTAATATTTACTAAGTAAATGTATGAATACCATAGTATACAAAAGTCATCTTGAAAACCTTAACACCCAAAACCCACATCCCAAACCCCAAACCTTAAACACCATTCAACTTTTATCTTAATAAATAAACACATGCATGAATTACGAACCAACAAGAGCTTTTATTTTATTTACCAGCAAAAGTGGATATCACTCGTTTTATTCAAAATAATAGAATAGTAATAGGGTGATAAATAAAAGAAGCTCATTACAGAAGTAATAACTAAGTGTTATTATAGAATTGGTTAGAACGTGGAGTGTCTCACAAGCTTGTCATCTGACAAACAAGTAAAAGATTGCCTAATATGACTAATCGTTCAAAAGTTACTGCTCTTTAAGGTCAACTTGCGATCAATCGATCACAAGTTACTGTTCTTTAAACGTCGAAATAAAACTCGATGAATACTCTTTGTCCACGCATCAGCCCACATGCATCAGTGGGAATACGTACGTGAAAATCTACTTCTTCTGCGAATATTCTGTTACTCACATCAATATGCGGTGCGTAAATTAAAATCATTCATTAATAATTAATCTTTATTTCACAATTTTATTTAATTCAATTAAACTATATTTGGACAGAAAAAATACTTCTTGATATTAGTAATTGAGATCAGTTGCAGGTTGGTGCTAAAATAGCACTGGACAAGATAGGAAAAAGACTCGAATATGTTACTGAATAATTGTAATATCGAATTGTATAAAAGTCCTCTATACGTACAGACGTGTTTTATAGTGCTCGTTTACTAGTTATTTTACTAGTTAGCTGGTGTTTAGCGCGATAACTACATACAAAGTTCTAGATCAACGAAGTTTTTGAGTGCTAAATCGCATTATATATGCAAAAACTATTGAAATAGGAAATAAATGATCAAATCAACGAAGTCCATTAGCAACACGAAGCCAAAAATAGCTGAAGACCAAAAACAACTGAAACTCATTTGAAAAAACTTACGACACTTTACATCAAAAACTAGATAGTGTGTCTCACTCTTGGAGTGAACAATGCCGTACCCCACTGATAAGCTCACCTCATACGCTCACGCTGGGACTCTTGAACAAGTACTACAAATAGCGTCACAGTAGGCACTGCAAACTCGATAACTAACACCTTGAGTTCTACATCAACTCAGATATCCGTTTTTTCTACTCATGCCTTACCTTTACATCCAACAACCCCGGTAAGTTCGATCGCTATTATATCAAATATTATACTGAACGAAATGCCTATTACATCATTTTGCGCTATGCTATATTACTAATGAAAAAAATTCTCCAACAACATACTCAATCGAAGGGAATAACTCACTTAAAAGAAATCCCATTACGCAATTCTCTTGAAAAGTCTTCAGTACAAAAAATCAAAGTTCAAAAAGAAGGTCAGAAAAGAACTTGTTCAAGTCTCGATATTCGCCGTTCAAAAAATCCTGAACAAACTAAAAAACAAGCTAAATTAGATAGTTACTGGCTAGACAATTCAAACCGTTCTATATATAGATTTTCAGTACTAGAAATAGAAGAAGAAGAAGCTGAAGAAGTGATGCAAGATGGCAAAAAGCAGCCCAAACCTCCACCAATATTCATAGATAGGGTAAACAACATAAATCCTCTCATAAATATTTTGTCCTCACCAGTAGGAAACAATTTTGAGCTAAAAGTTTTAAAAAACGAAAAAGTAAAAATCCAAGCGAAAACCATTGAGTCTTATGAATGAATTTTATACCTACAAGCCTAAGCTACAAGCTATTTTGAGAAACATGCATTCGTCTGTCAACACCGAGGACATTAAAACAGCTCTGGCGGAAATGGGCCATAAAGCTTTAAACGTGTTCAATATGAAACATAGAGAATCGAAAAAACCACTTCCTCTCATCATTGTAGAACTTGAGCCTCATCAAAATAACAACGAGATCTACAGCATAAAGAATTTGATGCATAGTTGTGTCATGTTTAAGGCTCCTCGTCCTAAACGGGACATTCCACAGTATCGTAACTGCCAAAACTATGGCCACACGAACAGTTATTGTCGAAGACATCCGAGGTGCATCAAATGTGCAAAAAATCATTTTTCGTTTCAATGTCCAATCCAAGGAAGAAGTACTGAAGTCAAATGCATTTTATGCGAAGGAAGCTATCCTGCAAATTATAAAGGTTGTTCGATCTATAAGCAGCTACAAACAGCGAAATTTCCAACACTAAGACCAAAATCAATATCAACTACAACCAAAGAAACTGACAAAGGAAAAGACAAAGCTTCTGTCCCGAGGGCTCCTAAAAGAAGTTATGCTAGCGTGCTAGTGGTACAATCACCTGAATTTATTACTATTCCAAAATTTCCGGATAAAATGAGTGAAGTTCTAATAGTAGTTAAGCAATAGTCACGCTGACAACTAAATCATGTCCGACAGTGAATTAAATACAGTCCTCTGGAATGCGAATGGGCTGTCAAAACACTGTTTAGAGCTACAAGAATTTTTGAAAGATCAAAAAGTAGACATCATGCGAATATCTGAAACACGTTTCACTTCAAAACATTATTTTAAAGTACCAGGCTATGACTTTTACCACACTATGCATCCCGGTGGAACAGCACATGGCGGAAGTGGCATTTTAGTTAAAACAAGCATATCACACTTTGAACTGCAACAATACCGCACTGAAGAGATTCAAGCAACCAGCATTTCAACAAAAGATTGGTATGGCCCAATCACAATAGCATCAGTATATTGTCTACCAAAACACGCAACTAAGACGGCAACATATATAAAATTCTTTAGAACTCTAGGTAACAGATTTATTGCGGGGGATTAGCATTAAAATGTTAAACACGTTGAATGGGGCTCTCGGCTTTCAGCACTCAAAGGACGACAGATCCACTTTTTTCCATTTTTGTAAAAATTCACGATGTTGTCTGCTTTGAACGGCTATCAAACACCAACTGAACGACGTAGCTCGCTCAAAATTAGAAAGTTGCCCACTGGTAGATTACAGCTGACAGCAGCACTGTTGCATTTGGAGTAACTGCGCGGGAAATTCAAAAAGTCACTGACTTATCACACTGCCCTCGTATTTTATTAATTTTCTTGATGTTTTTTTTTATTAAATGAAATTTCTAATGATTTGTTTCCAATGAATTTAAAATGGAGAAAAGATATACCATGCTATTTCTTAAGAAAAAGTTGTTCACAAGTAACACGTATTTCATGAAAACACCATAAAAAAACGCTATCAGGTAATTCCACTAGAATAGAATAGAAATAAACAGGGTACTAGCTCCCACTGGAGCAGAGCACTGCGACCAGATTGATCTTTTGTGCCGTAACTGACCCTAATTGAACAGAAGACATTCCGCTTTCCGAATGAAGGCCAGAATGTCGTCCGTTGAGGACCTCCTAATGTCAGAAGGAGAGAGCAGCTCTCCTCCCAGTGATTTCCTCCTTGCCCAGATCAAGGCTGGGCAGTCACAGAGAATGTGGCTCGTAGTCTCGTCTGCCTCTAAGCATAGTCGACACTCTATCTCTTCGGACAGACCTATTTTGTTAAGATGATAACGCAGTCCATGGTGACCCGTTAAATATCCCACCAGCAACCTCAAATCTGATCTGCTGAGGAGGGATACCTTGCCATAACTATATGGATGAACCAGCTGTTTTGCCTGACGGTTACCTCGATTGTCACTCCAGTAGCGACCTCTCTCGGCTGAGATCCATTTATCAATTAGATAACTAGTTGTTGACCAACTTAGTCCACAATAGGGTTCTGGTCCACAGATTTTAGTTGCAGAACCTGCCCTTGCAAGGCTGTCGGCAGATTCATTTCCTTTTATACCTGTGTGTCCAGGCACCCAGCAAAGCGTCACCTTATTTCTGCTTGCCAGCTGTTGCAACATATCAAAGCAGTCTAATGAAAGTTTTGAGAAAAACCTCCAGGTGGATAGAGCTTTGATTGCCGCTTGACTATCTGAGTAAATACAGATGCGGGCGCCTTTCAACCCGTTGTTTAAGTTGATACGAGCGCAGACCTCGATGGCGTGAACCTCTGCTTGGAAGACAGTGGGCCATATACCCAGCGCTAGCGAGATTCTGGTGTTAGGACCAAATATTCCAGCACCAACACCTTCCGTGGTTTTTGAACCATCGGTAAACCATGATATCACTTCTGGTTCTGCTCCAGGGGTGCCATTTACCCAATCCAATCGATCGGGAATGAGGACTTCGAACTTTCTACCGAAGCGAAGTTCCATGTTCATGCGATCTGTCCTATCGCAGATCTCTATGCCAGGAACTAGTCTGCAGATAGAGTTTTGACTGTCAAGACTTCCGTGCATATTGATACCAGAGTGTAGCCTAGCTTCACTCAGGGCTGCCGTCTTTTTAATGAAGAGGTGCAGAGGGGTAAAACCCACTATGGACTCCATAGCTGATGTGGGACATGTTCTGATAGTTCCCGTCATAGCGATACATGCGAGT